AGCAGCAGCAACAACAGCTGCAGGCCCAGCTGCAGGATGTTGTGCAATTGACGCAGCATTCCTTTATGCCACAGGCTCACAGCAGTGACTATGCGAATGAGGTGAGTATCGCTTCGATTGCAACCAGTTCCGTTTTAAAATATTGCTTTCGCCATTCACAGATAACCCATGAGCTGCTGTGCGATGCGGTGCCCATGTCCGCGGCCGAAATGGAAGTGTCCAGCACTGTCATTACCAACAGCAGCAACAGCAATGATAGCAGCAATAATTTGAGCCTGTGCAGCAGTAGTAGCAGCAGTATTGCCATCAATCAGCTGCCACAATCGGCAGCTGCTGCTGCTCCAGCTGCCCCGGCACCACAGCAGCAACAACGTCAGATTTTGGTGGACTCCAATGGACAAATCATAGGCAATTTCTTGTTGCAACAACAACAGCAACAGCAGCAGCAACAACGCCAACAGCAACAATTACAACAGCAGCAATTGCTGCAACAGTTTACATTGCAAGCAGCCGCACAGCAGCAGCAGCAGCAACAACAACAACAACAGCAGGCAACTAGCAGCAATGCACTGCAAAAACCCCATCAAGCGCTGCCCGTAACGCTACGCAAACCTTTTGAGATCAACAGCAATGGTGCGCAACAATTTTTGGCGCCTAATTTGCTGGCCCAGCAGCAGCAACAGCAGCAGCTCGAACAACAGCAGCAGCAACAGGTGCAGCAAAAGCAACAACAGCTGCAGCAATTTGCTCTACAGGCGCAGCTTCATCAGCGACAGCTTCTAGCGCAGGCAGCTAACAACAATCTGTTGCAGCAGCAACAGCAATTGCAGCAACAACAGCAAAACTATCAGCAGCAGCAGCAGCAACAAGCTGTTGTGCCGCCCAAATTCATAGCAAAGCCGCTGAACATTATATCGATGACACGACCTGCGAATGCCTCGCCCAACGCGGCAACAACCGTAGCAACATCAGCAGCTGCAAACAATCCACAAATTCCGTCCACCTACGCCAATGTTGTAGCCGCAGTGCAGCAGCAGCAGCAACAGCAGCAGCAGCAGCAGCAGTCGTCGACAGCGCAACAACAGATCAATCACAGCAACAGCAACCTGCAACAACAACAACAGCAACCGCTGCAACTGCCTGTTCCTACTGTTAACAATGTGCTGACCATGAAAACGCTGCCGCCCTCGGGCGTGCCCACAACAATTGCCCAGCAGCGACTGCAGCCAAAGATGCCCACGGGAAAAGGACGCAAGGCGACCACCAATCGATTGCCGCCGGGAGCTGTCAATCTTGAGCGTAGTTATCAAATCTGTCAGGCAGTCATACAGAACAGTCCGAATCGTGAGAACCTCAAGGCGCAACTGCGCCCGCCAGCGGCCATACTCAGCCAGCAGCAACAGACAACGGCAACAACTGTAAGCAGCAGCAGCGGCGGCGGCGGCAGCAGCAGTTCCGCACTAAACGTATCCACTGTAGCGGCCGCTCCAATGAGCAATTTGAGTACGGTGAGCGGTAATGTGACAGCAGCTGCTGCAGCAGCTACCGCAGCCGCACCAGCACAAAATCTGCTAAAGCAGGAGGAGCTGCTGGTCAGCGGCGCGGCTGCCGTGAACGCAGCGCCAGCACTGCCCGCCGGCATGCCGCCCAATGTGATGGGTGTGGGCAGACCTGGCGTCTATAAGGTAAGGATTTCGCATTAAAGACTTGGAGCATATTAACTAAACCCTTCTCTCTTGTTTGCCCAGGTCATAGGTCCGCGCATGAGTGGCTTTCCGCGCAAGAAGTACGTGCAGCGCAAACCCTCGCCCACAACGGTTATTAGGCACATGCTAACTGCGGCGCCTGGTGCGTCCAGTTCACAGCAGATGCAACTGGCCGCGGGTCAGCAGGTGGCGCAACAGGCACAGCCAGCGCAGGAGCAAATATTGCATCAGAATGGTACTGGTCAGTATGTGCTAGTGCATCGCGCCAACGTGGGTGCCGCAGACAATCAGGCGCCGCGTGCCTCTAGCGCGCCGCCATTGCATCAAAATCAGGTGAGTGCCATGAAGGGATAGCTACGATTGAACAACACATCTAATTGAATTGCTTTACAGTTTGTCGCCGTGCAGAATCCGCTGCACAGCCTCAATGGCATAAGCATGGGCGGACGCGGGCGTCCGGCTTCTGTAGACAATAACAATAGCGCTGGCAATGGTGCAACCGCGCTTGCCACCAACGATGCGCTGCATCATCATGAGCTGCATCAGCAACAACAACAACAACAACAGCAGCAGCAACAGCAACTGGGCAATGTGAGCGCGGCCGCGAATATTGTGCGGCGCAATATCGCTGCAGGTAAATTGGTGTATTATTAGTGCTTAGCGAGGTACGTCTTTCAAATCACCGCACACAAATTCCAACATTCATACATTCATCAATATCACAATTTGGCACGCATTTATTAATTATGACAATAGATTTGTTAGATTTACCAATTTGGCGAACAACAAAATATCCATCCGTTGACTCATAGTTTTTTCGTTTCCACGTAACCTTTTGCGTATGCGTATGTTCGAGTATGTAAACTGCATGGTTTATTTATTAATTTAATGCATTCACACGTTGTGGGAATTTAGTTAAGAGCTTAACATAAGAGAAGAGATAAGGGTTTGAAATAGCATTTTATCATATAGTTTGTCATCTAAGTATATTCAAAAAATGAGAGGTGGAACAACTCAAAATTGTACACGAATATAGAGATTTACAGATTTCGGAAGGTCATTAATTAAAGAACTGATTATTTACTGCTTTTATATTTCTTAAATATACGTCTAAGATAGTTAACTTGTCTAAATTATTCACACCTGTAGGCAAGAAAAATCTCCGAGTTTGAATATCAGGTTATAAAATAGAAATATGTAGAAATGTGCTAGGACAATACGATTTCATAGTCTAGAAACTGAGGAAAATTTTATGTGAAATTTATTATTTATTATTATTATTTAGAATCAGCAGAATGGTCTCAAGCTTGAAAATCGGTTTAGTTTTGACAATTGGAAAATTTTAAAGTTCATTTACGAGTAGCTTTGTAAGTTTGCTTCTTGTGTTTAACCTTTATGAGCTTTTAAAAACCTCAACTGTGAATGCAGCAGATGTATTTAAGTATATATTATTAATATTTTTGATTCAATATTAATTTGTTTGCAATATATATAAATAAGATGAACTTAAAATTGAATACTAAAACTTTGATCTACACATAAAAGGCACCAACATTACCTACATAGACGGCAGCAACAACAGCAACTCGGCGGCTCTCATGGATGCGGGCAACAACTACATAGTGACGACCACGGGAACAGCAACGGCAGCGGGAGGCGTAGTGAATCAACAAACAGCCCAGCAACAGCATCAACATCAGCAGCAGCCCCAACAGCAACAACATCCTTTGCTGCAATTACATCAAAGCGGCGAGAACACGCCACCGGGCAGCGAGGCGAGCAACAACAGTTGCGCCTGCGCCCTAAACGCGATGGTGATTTGCCAGCAATGCGGCGCATTCTGCCACGATGATTGCATCAGCGCCTCGAAGCTGTGCGTATCCTGTGTGATCAGATGAGAGCTAAGCCTGCAGATGCAACTGGAAAACGTATTATAGTAATATATAGAGTTAACCATATTTAGATGCAATGGCTAATATATATGTATATATATAATTATGTATTGGCAAGTCGAAAAGTTAGTTAGCTAGTGCGCCCCACCCACATAGAAGAGGACGAAGACAAATGTGTATTAAAGTTGATTTCTGGTTGCTTTCGACCTATGACCCGACACAATTTATAAGCTAGACTATAAAGCTACACCCAACTAGACGCAAACCAAGTGCAGAGGCTTGAGCACACACACAAACACAACAAACTCACATATATATACACACACACGAAGCTATAGCAGGAAATTGCTTGCGTAAAATGTATTTTTTAATTTAATGTGCAGAAATTGAAAGCCATGTAAATAGAGAAAGTAACTATTGGTAGTTGGGCTGGGGGGTAAAACAAAACTTAGTATGCAAGCAAGTGTTGTGGATTTTGTTCTTGTTGCGTAGCCCTAAGAAACTCGGTTCAGGTGTTTGTTTATAGGGCTATCGCATGGCCACATACAAAATGATGACATGAACAGATTATAAACACTCAATGTAATTTAAACAAAACAAATACAACAAAAAGGCAGCGGCAAAAGCAGCAAAAACCAATATAAAAAAAAAAGAAAAAAATAAGAAAGCTATGTACATATTTATGTTTAATATTAATTGTAATTTATAAATGAAAAAAGTATATAAATATATATATATATATATATATATGAATATATATTTACGATTAAGCTAGAATTGAGAAACTTCAAACTTAGGTTGACATATGCCTGAAGACTATATTTTTTATAATTTGTCGTTGCAGCATATGCGTGATGATAATTCAGTTGGTTCGTTTTAAAAATACATAAGCAACTACATAATAAACATACATGCAACTACAATACATACATTATATATTTTACTGTGTAATTTTTAAAACCTAAGCTTTTTATTTCCCTAATCTAAGTTTATCATTCTTCACAACCAACACACCCACACACACATACCACAACCACAACCACATCTCTAGCATACACATAATATAGCGCATAAAAGTAATTGTAATTCACATATAAAACAAATTGATTTAAAAGCATAAAACTGTTGATAAAACAAAATAACAACACACACACACACAAATATACACTGAAAGAAAAAACATAAATGTACATTGAGAAACTAAAATGCAATTAAAAACAAAAACAAATTATTATAACAAGATGAGGAACAAAATTCAAAAGAGAGAAAAACAAAAAAAGGAAAACGAAAAATCATTTTGCTCCTAGATGCACTCAAAATTAACCAATAAACATTATTACAAATAAATTGAATGAAACAAAAACCCTTAAATAGTATTTACTATCTACAAATGGACCAGAAATTATTCAAACATAAACCAAAATCTTTTTATTTGTTAACAACCAGAAAAAAAAGTATCTACAGTGGCAACTGAAAAGCGGACACGACTGATGTCACAATTGTGGACACCTCGGCCATGGCGCCATTTCCCGTATCACCGCACATTAAGGTCTTGGAAATGCAGGGTATCTCCTTGTAGCCCCAGCTGATTAACTTATCAATCTGCTCGCGCGTTATGGGATGATCGTACATGCGTGTGTTCATCGCTGGGGCAAAGAGCAGCGGCTTCTCCAAATCCCAGGCGCGCACCACGCACAGCACCAGATTGTCGCAAAGGCCCTGTTAAAACAAAAACCACAAAAAACCATATATACTTTTATAACTATCTAATGTTTAAACAAAGATAAGTTAAACGTACAGTGGCTATTTTGGCTAGAGAGTTGGCGCTAAGTGGCGCAATTAGCAGCATGTGCGCCCACTTGCCCAGCTCAATGTGCAGCACGGGGTCGCCGCGTTTGTTCCAGGCTAGCCACTCGTCACGATTATGTAAAATGGGCACATGTTCCGGCACCTGCTCCAATTCAAAAAAGTGTTTGGCATGCTCCGTTATAATGACCTTAACCTGTTGGCAATTGATTGGCAATTAATTGACCCGAAGATAGAGCTTGGCGCAGACACTCACGTTAAATTTATAGGGCAGCTTTTCGTTGCTTAGTTCGGATATTAATTGTACCAGTTTAATGGTGGCCACGCTGCCTGTGGCCGCAATGAGAACATTGCGTTCTGGCCTCAATTTGATTGATGCTGCTGCTGCTGCTTCTCCGTTGGTGGCGTCTTTTCCGGAAAGCCCAATTTCGCCCATTCTGTTTTTTCCATAAGATTGTTGTCCATGCGACAGCCTAAATACTCTTGCGCCTCTGCCCGGCACTTGGCGTTGTCGTTCTCGTTGCGCCGCAAGCAGCTGGCGTAGATTAGGAAGTGCTTCTTGCACAAGCTCTCGTGATCTAATGGAAAGCTGCCCTTCTCCGGCGCTGTGGGTACGAACTTCTTTTGACTGTAGATCTGAGAAGTCATTTGTATGTTTGTCGCCACCAAGATCTTATCTCAAAACATTAATGAGCGAGCATACGACAATTATGAAATAGATAAAACGTAAATAAAGCAAACAAAAACAACTGTCAATTCTGCCTGCGCGAGGCTGCCAGAGTTTTATACTAAAAAATATAGATGGCAGCACGATAACATGTTAAGTCTGCAATCGATTAGGAGCGACTTTCATATAAACAGTGCTGCCATATTAAATATGGCCATATCTTATACAAGAAACTAGCATAGCTTTTGTAGAAATCGCTTTATTTAATTAATACAAATCCATATTTAGCCACATTGGTCTTAATTTAGCTTAATTCTCATTTTTGTAACTAAATTTTTTTGCCATTTATAGCCAGTTTTTTTTTTCAACATAGCTCTTTAAGCCTTTCAAATTCTGGCAACACTGCACACGAAGCCGGCAGAATGCAGTGGCTTAAATTGTTAATTTATTTAATTTCAAGTTTAATATTAAAAACAAACGCGCAGTTTGAGCGCGATCCTAATGGCTATTTAGTCTACTGTCCCTGTATGGGTAAGTTTTGATGGGGTTTCTTGCTTTCAGTTTATGTTTATGTTTTGCCCCTCAGGACGCTTTGGCAACCAGGCGGACCATTTTCTGGGCTCCTTGGCATTTGCTCGTGCTCTAAATCGCACGCTTATATTGCCGCCATGGGTGGAGTATCGCAAGGGTGAATTGCGCTCTCGACAGGTGCCATTCGACACGTACTTTGAGGTAGAGCCGCTGCAGGAGTTTCATCGCGTCATACTCATGTCGGACTTTATGAGCCACCTGGCTGACGAGGTGTGGCCCGCCTCGGAGCGCGTATCCTTCTGTTATATGGAGCGGAAGAGCTTGCAGCAGGAGAAGAACGATCCGAATGCGCCCAACTGTCATGCCAAGGATGGAAATCCATTTGGTCCATTCTGGGACACGTACAACATTGACTTTGTGGCCTCCGAGTTCTATGGTCCACTGCATTTCGATGTACATCACAGTGCCATAGCCACCAAATGGCAGCAAAGCTATACGGCCGATAAGTGGCCCGTGCTAGCATTTACCGGCGCGCCCGCCAGTTTTCCTGTGCAGCTCGAGAACCGCGTATTGCAAAAGTACTTGAAATGGAGTCCCCGGTATAGAGAAGCAGCTCGTGAATTTATACGCAATGTTCTGCCGCGCGGCGCTTTTGTTGGTCTGCATTTGCGCAATGGCATCGATTGGGTGCGCGCCTGCGAGCATATCAAGGACAGTCAACAGCTATTCGCATCGCCGCAGTGCCTGGGCTATAAGAATGAGCGTGGCGAGCTGTACACGGAACTGTGTATGCCCACCAAGGAGGCAATTGTGCGGCAGCTGAAGCGCATAATTAAAAATGTGCGTCAATCGCAACCGAAGAACGAGGTGAAATCCGTTTTTGTGGCATCCGATGCGAATCATATGATAAGCGAGCTGAGCAACGCGCTCAGTCGCATGGATATCAGCGTGCACAAGTTGCCCGAAGATGATCCCTATCTTGATTTGGCCATATTGGGACAATCGAATCATTTTATTGGCAACTGCATTTCTTCGTACAGCGCATTCGTTAAACGTGAGCGGGACACTCACGGATTCCCATCGTATTTCTGGTCTTTTCCTAAAGAAAAGGAACGCCAACAGTCCAAGCCGCATGAGGAGCTATGAAGCCTGACAATCTTTAACAACTCTCAAAAAAGTTTAGCATATTTAGTCTTAAGCTAGAAAGTATTCCACACATCTGACTAGAACAAATCCGATTAGGATGATTTAACTTGATAAGTTGCAATTAATTAGATATGTATTTGATTTTACTTAGAAATTTATTCAAGCTTGATTTCTCACGCATTCCTCAAAATAATTTAATATGTAAAACTTTACCGGCGCTTTTTTTTATTATTTGTTCTTGACGTCACTTAGGTATTTGTTTTTATTTTCTTCTTAATGTATCAGCTTTTGCGTGCGTGCCAGATCCAGTTGTGCAGATGATACGTTTGTCAATCCCTCGCGCACCGAGCTAAGGTTCTCCTTCCAGGCCTGGAGCAGATCGCGCAGCTGCTCCCATTGTGGTGCACCAAAGGTGCGATGCATTGTCGAGGAAATGTGAACCTTACGATTGGCCTGATCCAGACGCGCACGCACCAGCTTTGTCTTCAGAACTTCAATGACAAATGGCTCCACTTCATCCTCGCCGATTTGCAACTCCTTGGTCAACGTATCGAAAGTCATTTCAGGATAGCTTTCGGCCAGCTGCATAAATGTCAGCAAACGCATTTTCTTCATGTTCTGCTCGTGGTTCAGGCCTTGCGAGTTGACAAACTCCTTGTGATCCTCATAGAACTGCACATACGAGGGCAACTTGTCGGACACGAAGATGGACAACAAATCGTGTATCAGATCGCCCTCCAGGAAGCGCACGGGCTTCAGCGATAGCAAAGGATCGAGCAGGAATGTATTGGGATCGGCCAGGGCGGTGACAATGCACTTCATGGCATCCTCACGAGCAACGCACGCATTGTCTGCCGTATAGGTGCCCAACAGCTCAATCATGACCTTGGAAGACAGCTCCAGATTGGTGTCCTTGGTGACATCGTGCAACAGACGGTACAACTTTTGCATCTGCTCACTGGACGGCGGGCAGTTGGCAAATTGCGACTTTAGCTGATCGACGCCAGTGAACACCTCCAGCACCTGATCGCACTGCTTGGCCACCTGCACCAAATGATAGTAGACATGGTAGCGCAAGGGAGAGGCTGTGTCCAGATTGTTGAACAAACGCCACAGCGACTGCAGACACACTTTGGCCAGCGGCTGGTTGGGCGCCTTAGTCATCTTTTCGCAATAGGCCAACACAATGTTCTCACCACGATCCAAAGGTATCTGAAAGTATTATTGTTAAGCTATTTACTGGCAGTTATACACTACATATATATACATACCGTTATCATAATGGATACAATGCTGTTAAGAATTCCATCAATCTGAGCTGGTTCGCCGTCTTTGAAGCAGACTTCACAGACGCCGATTATTTTATGCAAATCATCTTCTACGCCTTTATTGGATTTCTCCGATGAGATTTCGGCGCCAAGCTTTTTAAAATACTTGCGCAGCTCTTGCACCTGTTAACATATATAATACATTATATTTTATTTTGTATTTATAAAATTTGTTTTTGCACCCACTGCCAACATAACCTCACTTTAATGTTGAATGCGGCACAGATGGCGCGGTAAAACATTATTGTAAACATTACCTGTTCATCTAACGATAGATCTATAAACACCGGATGCGAAGCCATGGTTTTATAGATTGTTAAGTTATATATTTTTGCAAATAGAATAAACAAATTTGCACGCACACGTCGTCGTCGTCGTCGTCGATGAATTGACAACTCGAAAGGAAAGGGCAAAACAATAACAGAGTTGCCATGTTGTATGAAAAACTATCGATTGTAGGAACGCAGCGATAACGATAATTGTATTTCGAGAAATTTGTTAAACTGCCGGGCTATAAAATGGAAGACCTTAACGACGACTCATTTGATGATGTCTTGGCTTCAATAGAAATGCCCGCAGCTCCAAAGCAGCCGAAAATACAAACATCGACAACAACAGAAGCATCTATCAGCACCAGCAGCAGCACCAGTTCTGCTGCCGGCACTGCTAAGCCGCCGCCTTCAAATCCTCACAGTGTTTTGGTGCACAGCAAGCAACGGGGTAATCCCATACTGAAATCCATTCTCAATGTGCCCCTGGAGTTTCGTGATGATATTATACCAGACTATGTGGTGGGTCGTACTTCCTGCATACTGTTCCTATCGCTCAAGTACCATAATTTGAATCCCGATTACATTTGCCAACGCCTCAAGGCGCTGGGCAAGATGTATGAGCTACGCGTGCTGCTGGTGCAGGTGGACACGCCCGAGCCGCACAATGCGCTGAAAAGCTTAACACGCATTTCGCTGTTGGCAGATCTAACGATGATGCTCGCCTGGAACGCCGAGGAGGCTGGCAAAATCATAGAAACATATAAGCAATTCGAGAAGCGTCCGCCGGATTTGATTATGGAGCGCGTTGAGTCCAATCCGCATCAGAAGGTGGGTGTGATGTTCAGTTTTAGTTTAATGTAATTTCACTGGGTTTCATCCTCTGCAGCTTGTGGCGGCTTTGACCAACATTAAACCAGTGAATAAAACGGATGCCGTCACGATCTTGCAAATCTTTGGCAATCTGGAGAATCTTATTAATGCCAGCGAGGAGCGGCTTGCCCAAGTTATGGGCTTGGGACCGCGCAAGGCCAAGAAATTGTACAAAACGCTGCACGAACCCTTTCTTAGCAAATAAGGCCAGTTTATTGTAACAGCTATTTATTACAAAAGGCAATAGGAAATACTTAAATTATATACACAAAACCGGGACAGAAAGATATGATTACTCCTGCAGTTTCCATATCTTGATGGTGCCATCGTCGCTGCAGGAGATCAGTTGACCGGCAGTCACTGGATTCCATTCCACCGCATTCACATCCTGTTCGTGTGCGCTTTCCTCGGCTGTTAGCAGCTCGAATGTGGGCGCATCTCGTTTGGAATCGCTGCACTCTTTGAAAATGCGAATGCCATCATCGCCGCAAGCGCTGGCAATCAGGCCTGTCTGCTTGCACCAGGACACATCATAGATGGCACGCGAGTGCTCTCCGGACAAGGTGCACACGCATTTCCACACGGTGGTCTTGTCGGGCGTGGCAATGCCAGCATCATTGCCCGGATGATAGGCACGCCAAATCTTAAGTGTGGCATCGTCGCTGCAGGAAACCAAACGCTCCCCATCTGCATCAAAATCAATGCTCCAGACTGTGCTCGTGTGCGAGCTGAGCGTCGCCGTACAGTCCCAGTCGCTATCGAGCGCGCTCTCGGCAAACATCTTGATTGTGTTGTCATACGAAGCTGAGGCCAGGACTTCCTTTGTTGGATGCCACACCACACGCTTTACATCCTGCGAGTGTGCGTTTAGCACAGCAGCGCATTCGAACTCATCATCGCCAGCCACCTCCCAGATCCACACTGACTTGTCGCGCGAACAAGTGGCCAACAAGCCGCCGCTGCGTGACCAGCTAACGCTTTTCACCTCATTCTCGTGCCCCTCCAGCGTGGCGGTGCATTCGTGCTTGGACCAAATGGCTGTGGTAGCATCGAAGCTGGCGGAGGCCAAATACTCACCGCACGGTGACCAGCGTACCTCGCGTATGGTGCGCTTGTGCCCATCAGATAGTATGGTTTTGGTGGTCCATGTGTTTCCCGAAAGTGACCATATTCTGATGGCCTTGTCTTCGCCGCAAGAGGCAAAACTATTGCCCTTTGGATGCCATGCAACGCCCCAAATTCGTCCTTTGTGACCCTGCAGCGTGTGCTCCAGAATAAGGCGTACCATAATTAAAGTTGCGTAGTTTTAAGGTGTATATATATTTAATTATATATGTTGATTTCTGTTGATAACGCTGCATGCGTGAAGTCCTCAAAAAACAGATGTTATTCAAGGGTTCAGTTCCGAACTAGTTTCATCGCTTTGATCTTTGAACACTACTTGAAAATGAAAGTAATACACTCAATTACTTAATATAGCAGCAAATATAAAATGGAAATATACGTTTTTAAATAAAAATATTCGACAAGCTGGAGAGCTGCGTGTTTTTTTATATTTTAAAGGAATTCATTTAATTCGTTAACGGAACTGAACGCATACATCAACTATATGGCAACGCTCAGCTCTTATCATTGGCAAACTCTAGTAGCAAGAAATTAAGTGTGTACAAGGAATACATTATTTTAAATTCTGATGTAGACTATGATTTAACAGTTTTTGGTTTAATACTAAGGTCCACTCCATCTTTACTAATATAACCAAATGCATAGTAAAGGTATTTAGCTATAATTTGAATTTTCAAAGTTGGCGCCAAGAACAGCTTCCCACACCTAAAACTATCGATACTTTTGCAAAACGATAGAAATTACCACTGAACTGTAACACGAAGATTTACAGTTAAAACAACATCTACTGAATCCACAATCTGCGTTTTCTTTTTAATAAATACACACTGAACTTGGTTGGTTTTACTTAATTACGTGGCAGCCGAAGTATCGCTGCTTGCCGCACGCCGCGGATTAACTGTACAAATAGACAAAACTAGTGCATTGTGTTGTTTTGGCCGTTTTTTTCTTTCTGATAAGAAAATGAACGGTCTAATTGTATTCAATAGCGCCAACGATGTGGCTTATCAAAATTTGAATGGAGATCTAACGGAGAAAATATGCAATATAGCAATTGCACAGGGTTTGGTGCCCGCCGGCAGCGTAATGACTCCCGGCGCCGCCCTGGACAGCAATGTCCTGTTGCAGATATTCAGTCCCATTATCAGCTCACAGCGGATTATGCACTGTCAGTTTGACAATGCCTATGCGAGCTTTCAGTGCGAGAATGGCTTCAATTTGGCCTTTGGCGAGCTCTTGGGATTCACCTTTTTGAAAATTGGCCAAACCGAGATTGAGCAACTGATGCGCCAACTGGGCGTGGCCATGACACTGACACGTTACTTTTACGGCGCCAATTTATTTGGTGTACAGGCTGGAGCCATGCAGCAGGAGCTGCTGACGCTGTGCCTCAACTGTTACGAGTCGCAGCTGTGGCAGGAGGAGCAGGCCTATTTGCTGGAGGCACTGCCCAAGCTGCTAATCAACACGGAACTGAAGCGCACTGTGCACGTGACACTGGATGCGACGCTGGAGCAACTGCGACAAACGGGCGGACAGCAACGGGCACATGCCCTGCTTCTTGTCTCACATAAGCTGGTGGCATTGAATAGCACACGCCAGGCGCTACCCTTGGCGCCCGCCGATTTGCTCTTTCTGGCCATCTTAGCGCGAGCGCTGCAATCCCAGAAATCCCAACGGGCTGTGGCCGTTTTCCTTCAAGGAGTTTCACACGATGTCAATTCTGGCTGTGTGCCCTGCATTGTGCATCTGTCGCGCCTTCATGGCCATCAGGTGCTGCTGCAGATCATCGAGTACGGCCACATGCCACTCACCAGCTCCATATATGACACATTCTTTGTGCTGCAGAAAATTGTGGCCGTGCAGCAGCAGGGCGATGCGGATGCATTGAAGCCCGCCTACGAGAGTCTGGAATCTTTTGTCAGCCAGACCTTGACAGCGCTTAAGCGCCATCTGAAGCAAAAACATGAGGATTTGGAGAGCTGTGTCAAAAAGTTTACGGCACGTTGGGAGAATCTGCGCAAGATGTACGTGGAATTCTTCAAGAGCTTCGAGCGCGAGCTGCTCGTCCGCATCGAGTCCAATTTGCCAGCTTTTGTGGAGGAGCTGAAGCAACTGTTTACGCTCTCCTTGGCCAGCTGCGACAGCGCCAGCAATCAGCAGCTGGATCAGCTGGCCGACTCGGCAGCTGTGGTTGAGGCCAAGCTGCTGGAATTTGCCGAATTCCTGGCGGTCAAGGCGGCGCGCAACATGTCCATTGATGCTTACTTGGAGGACTTTCCAGGCCTGGTGCATTTCATGTACGTCAATCGCAGCTCCGGTCAAATGCTGGCGCCGGACTTGCGTCAAAACAGTCCACAGCTGCTGCCCAAGTCCAAACTGTGGCACATGGTGGAGTTCACTCGCAGCTATTTAAAAAGGGGCCAAACCACAGTCATGTGGAAAGATCGCACATTCCATTACTCATATTTCCTTTGGTTTGAAGATCTCTCGGGTGGCATATTGAAATGCACCCTGGACTTGCACCAGCATTTCCTATCCACGGGCTTTGGCGCCGGTGCCAATGGGCAGAAGACACCAGCCGAGCCTGGTGCACTGCCCATGGATTACTACAGCGAGCTGGCCGAGCTTTGCTTTCCCAAGCTGTCGCCAGGCAAAGTGCGCGTCTATGAATTGTACTGCATACATTTGGGCCTCGTCACGGCTACCTGTGCCGTCGAGCATGCCCGCCGCTTGGTGGCCACCATCAGCGATGTGGTTGGCGAGGAAACATTTTAAATGGCATTGTAAGTTTTATTTAGTTATATATTTATTTTTTTTGACATTCCCTTAAAAGATGCCACACGATGCTAGTCAACTTTCGTTTGTCTCTTGACATGATATATCACACGAATATTCTATAAAATCCTCTATAGGATTGTCATAGCGGGAGCTCATTTGCGTGCAAATGCCCTGAACTTTAATGTTATTTTAAACAATTTCTTGAATTGAGTCCGAAGGTATCAAACGTTATTGTCTTTTGAAAGTTATTGACTTTAAAGTTGCTTTGATTGTTATTTTTTTGCGATTTTTGTTTATTTATTTTTATTATTCTAGCCATAATTTATACATTTTGGTATTCCATTAGGTCGCCGTAACTAGTTGTTAACGAATAAATCCTTAAAAATTATTCTTGATGTTTCGGTTTACGGTTTTAAGGATTTTGCTTCATTCAGTTTCAATTTAGAAACGTAGCCACATTTTTATGTTTCTGACTGGGTCTTCTTCGAATGAAAACAAATTTTTACCAAAACAGTTTCCTTCAGGCGGTTTGGTCTAAAAGTAGTTTCTTCTTATAACAATAGATTTTTTCAACAAACGTTTATTAACTATTTACATGTTTATTGTGTCGCCGCCGTTTCCTGTTGATTTTGTAGCTCCTGCCATTTTTCCTCAAAGAAAGACTTGCGCGCCGTCAATGGCATAGACTTCTGGCGCAGCATGTAGTTCTCATTGCCCAGAGCCGTGTAGGTGTTGTCTCCAATGAGATTTCTTAGGGCAATATTCTTCTTTAAATGCTTATCATAGTAGCTAATGCCGGCGGCCACAAACTGTGGACCCAGCGTTGCAAGTTTCTTGTCTATGTCCGCATCGGTGACCACCTGATTAACGTCCTTCATGAAAGACCAGCTGCCCACGCCGAACAAGCCCAAAATTGTGTATAAAACAAAACGCATCTGTGAATTATGAAACGCAAACGATTAACAAGTGCTACAAAGATTCCATATGAAAAACATACGCTGCCATGACGCGCAAATAGATTGAGACGCAGGTTCAAGAAGTGTCCCACGGTGTAGACCATGAGGAAGCTCAGACTGGGGTATATAGAGTTCAAAAGCACGCGATGCGTTTGCAGCTGCAGAATGGCCTTGCATAGTCCAAACACCTGCTCGTCCTCCGTCAAGACAATAGCTTTCTCCAACAGTTTGCCGCTGTCCGAGGTCCAATCGATTTGCTGATCGCGAAAGCGTATATCTGCCCGCTTGATCTCATCAGTGCTGCCATAGGCATAGTTTACGGGTATGCCCAGGGCGGCGCCAAAGCGATACTTTGTGGTGCCCGCTTGGAACAGATCGAATCCAAATACAGTAAAGGGTTTAACGAACTTGCGCTCACGCGGATCAATCTCCAGCTTGTCCATTGCCTGACTCACACGTTGCTGCACTGCTTCCGGAACTTCACGTTCAATGCCATTCCTGTGTGAAGCAGAAAATAAGTATGGGCACCATGTTCCTCAAATACACTAACGCACTGATAACATTGGACAAAATTTCGGTAATATTTCAGTCCGAATGTGTGTGGCACAAAGTTGGCTATGAAAAGTCCAGCTGTGGTCGTGCCCGCCGCATAGAACACCACTTTACGTCCATTTTCGGTCTTAAAAAAGGATAAAAGGCCGCCACCGGCTTTCTTCTGCATGTTTGTCTGTTTTGTAACCACAACTTATCGGCCGACTGCCACATCGAAGAGGTGCGATATTTATACTCAGCTTGCCATTTATCGATGTGCATGGCAAGATTAATCGATTAATCGTTTGTTTCAAAAATGATTTAACATTTATTTTTATTCACGTTACTCGATGCGTTTCTTCTATAAACAAGTTTATTTAAAAGCTTACATTTAACTTACGAGCTGGCTGTGCTTTGTAACTTAATGTCAACTACAACTATATTATTTTTGGCAGCTTTATGCCGCCACCAACGCCCCAACCGATGCTCCTGGCCCACGGCCGCATACAGCTTGGTGCCATCGGCATTGAAAGTCAGGCCATTTATGAAGCCCGCAATGGATATTGTTTGAATCGGCTGCAGCTTGCGGGCATTTGGATTGCTTTGCCACAGTCTGACACAGCCGTCGCAAGAGCCTAAAATACAAGAAACATTTTAAATTAAGGCGTAAAATTTGTTTAAGTGCTGCAGCCGCACCTGTTGCCACCAGATCCGTATTGACCACAACGGCAATGGCTGTTATCCAGTTGGCTACGCCATTCTCGCCCTTTCCATGCGCCAGTTGCGTTGTGCAAATTGGCTTCTTCTTCAAGGCGCTCCACAAGCTAATGGCACTGCAAAGAGTATGAGCGTATGTATTAATAATATATTAGCTATTAACATTTGGGGTCCTAACCCATCAACGCCGCCAGAGACGAAATGCTCATCATTAATCAGCTTGACGCATTCAATGCCGTCTCTGTGTCCGTTGTAAATCAGCTGGGACTCTTCGGTAATCTTCCAAATGCGTAACGAACAATCTGAACCGCCTGCGGTTATAGCACGCTCCCGACTCAGTGCATCTATGCTCGTAACAGCAGTCTGGTGTCCAAACCTATATTTAATTGTGATTAAATTGGAATCCAAACTAGATTGCTTTGTGGCGCACACTCACAAACTTTCCACGTATGCCAACTCATCCACAGACCAAATCTTCACTGAGCGATCCTTGGCCGCCGAGTACAGCTCGTGTGTGCCCTTGCGGAATACCAGACCCGTGACATTATCCCTGTGCCCCTTAAATGTTTTTACATGCTTCATGGTCTGTGGACACCATATCTGTATGTGTGGGCCGCCCTCGGCCAATGCCATATACTTCATGTCGGTGGACAGGCAAATGGCAATGACATGCGATCGGCGCTTTTTATTCGTTTCGGGCTCCTCGCGATGCGGCAGCACATCCCCTCTGTCCAGCACTTTCCCACTCTCCGTGCACCATTTGAGTACATATTGTGACTTTGCGCCCGTGTACAGGTATTTGCCATCTGCGCTCAGAGCCAGGGCGCAAAGCGGCGTGTGGTGCACCTTGTGCTTGAGCACACTCTGGATTGTACACGATTGGAGGCCAGCAGCTATGTTGCGACGCAATCGCCCCACACTATCCAAGTACTCGGTTTGTAGACGCTGCTCGACACTCTGGCTCAACTCGCGATGCTCGGCGCGCTCTGCCTCTTGTTTCTCAATTTCAGACAAATATTGCTTGGCCAGACGCAAACGTTTGTCTTGGGGTGTTTCCTCCTCTTCTTCGTCGGCGGAGAACGCTAAAGTGTCGCTGTTATATTCCTCATCATCACTGGCAATCTCCTCGTCGTCCACTTTGGCACGTCGTTGTTTTTTTGGCCCTGGAACTGTTGCATTTTGTGTTTTTTTACCCGGTTTAGCGCCGCCTTTGGTTTTTGTTGCGCTAAACTATAATGTGAATTGTCGTGTGCTGAGTTTTGTGTGTATTTCTTTGAGTTATTTGGCTTACCTTGCGCTTTTTGTTGGCCTGTTTGGCGGCGCCTGGTTTCAAAAAAAACGATGAGGACATTTTATGAATCGTAATTTCTAAAAAATTTAAACGCTAAACAGGCCCACGTGCATAGTATAACGCGCTTGGTATTTTTTAGACATTGTTTAACACATCAGCTGTGTGCATCGTGTAACAGGCTGACTGCTATGATATGATATTTCAAGTGCCAATACCAACCAACGTAACGTTTTGTAGCACTGTAAAGGCGCGCAAAGCGTAAATTCAAAATTTAAATTCATCGTCTTGCTATTGCTTGCTAAATATTCTCAACTTGCAGTATTTCTCTGAACGTATATTGAATAAAAAAATTGTTGTTTATTGTTATTGCCCGTACGTTTATTGAAATAACTAAGTACTTTAAATATAATATATATATGGTTATTAATATAAATTAAATCAAATGGTTTGAATTCCGTTTTTCATTTATTGTTTCAAATTTAGCAAATACGCATTACATGAATTATAATGTTGAATCAAGTTGGATTTGTCTAACTGAATATGTTCTCCCGAGTGTTATAAAATTATCACAAATTATGTATACGTTGATTTCTCGTTTTGTGTAAGTTTTTCTTTTTATTTGCATTATTATGATAATAAAAATAAATTAAGTGTTGCGCTCTGTGCGCTGCCCAGGCGGCAGGCGTTGGTTGGTTGATTGGTTTGGTTTGGTTTGTGAGAGTGGAGGGGAAGGTTAGGTACCTACAGAGAACCAAATAACGCGCTATTGACCGCACGTCTGTAATTGCCTAAAACTAAGTAACGTTCTAAATTAAAATTTTAAGATTGCTAATTATAAAAAAAACACATTAAGTGAGAATAGGAATAATGGGCGTGTGCCCAATCTCACTTTTACATGATCGAGCACAGGCCCGACGTTTCGACGCCATTTTGCACTTTCTTCGTTTTCTTGAGCGTCACCTGTCGCAGCGCCGGCTTCAGTTCGATAACAGGCTCCGGCTCAGCTTCAACTGCAGCGGGTGGTGGTGTTATCGACTTTTGCGCAGCGGCCGCCGTTGTTGATGGGCCGCCGCTGCTGCTGCTGCTGCCAGTTGCTGCTGCTGGCGCGCCCAGCGATGTTGTTGCTGCTGTTGTTGTTGTTGTTGCTGCTAGTGTGGGCAAACGTGAGTTGACATTATTGTTGTTGTTGTTGTTGCTGCTGCTGCCGTAGCTGCTGCCAATAACCGAAATGGAACTAATGTTTGCAGGCGGCGCATTAAGACAGCTGCTGCTGCTGCTGGTGGCAATCTTCGGCACAAACGTATTGCCTCCGCACAGCACTGGAATTGTGGAAATTGTTTGTATGGAATTCTGCTGCTGATGCACATCGGCATTTCCTGTGGCGCCAATTACACTTATTGCCGACACTTGCGAGTCCGTTGCTGCTGCTGCTGCCGTTGCCGCTGCCGACGTCGTCGTTGTTGTTGAGGCACTATTATGACTATTACTACTTGTATTCTTAGTGATATTTATTTTTATTTTATTAACTATGCTAGCCAAAGGTAACGCCGGCGCCGGTCCCGCTGCGCTCAGATTATGCGTCTCCTGTGGATTCTCACCATTAAAATCGGCCTCGCTGTTGCCTGCCATCGCAGCGCTTGGCTCCAGTTCCAGATCATCCTCATTAGCCGTCATAGAAAGCGATGTTACCGAGGCGGGACGCTCCATGGTTACCGGCGAGGCGGTTGAATCGATGGTCTGGGTTTGAGTTTCTGGGCACAGTCAAAAAATGTCCAATTAGAATCAGCATGGAAATATATATATTTATAATAAGAGTACTTACCACTGCTTAGTATAGATATTTCATCTTCTGGCAGTGGCAGCAATTGCACCACCGTGCCCACATCCTCAAAGCCGTCGTCTTCGTCCTCTTCGTCATCATCTTTGGGCTCCTCTTTGATTTTAACATTGAGCATTGGCATTGGCTCTTTTTCTACGTAGGTGTCCAAATCAGTAAAGGGAATGTTTGGCTCTTGTATCTCTACATCCGACTCATTGGCATTCTCTGCCCTTTGTTGTTGTTCTTCATCCTTTTGTTGTTCCTTCTGTTGCTCCTGTTCGCCAGGAGTTGCTGACGTTGTTGGCTTCTCACTTGGCGCCTCTGTCTCTGGTTCAGCAGTCACAGCCATCGGCACATATTCATCATCATCGTCGTCGACAATTTCTGTAACACTCGGCTCCTCATTAGGCAGCACAATGACATCGTCATCGTCGTCATCCAGCAGCATGGTTGATGTCTTCTTGGCATCATCTGTGAGGCGCAGGTAAGGCAGTGAATTAGTATGGACATGATATCGTTTAAATTGGTAGCACTCATTAATGAACTTCTTAACTTTCACTTAAAACTCACCCGAGTCATCCTCCACTTTGATAAGTGTATCCATGGCATTGTCATCGCTGGCATTGAGCATATCCATATCCCCATTGGTCGTGGAATCGTTTACAACTGCCGCCGGCGGATTAAGAGACGCCTTGTAGTCTTCATAGCACAGCGGGTGATAGATTTTCTCGTCCACACGTATAGCCGAGCGAAGATGCCATTCCTCCAGCTCTTCGTTGTAGAACTGTTCGAATTTCTCGTGACACATGTCACAGCTGCGATCCAAATCATCCGTGCCAGCGGCACAGCTGGGCACGGGTGAGTCCAGCGAACGCTGCTGCGACACCTCATCGATAGCATCGGGTCCCAGTTGCTGACCCTGCGCCTCCAGGAAGTTTCTTTCACGCTCCTCCACATCCTCAATTTCTTCGTACTGCCGCCAATCATTGAGATCATAAAACCAACGTCTGGACGTTGCCTTGCGCGTCGAGTCACGTTCACGTCGATTTTGTCGGAAATGCCAGTCCAAGTGTTGGCTATACTTGATGGTCTGCTCAGGCGGGAAGCGTACACCACAGCTGCTGCACTGCATGCCCAAATATAGAGTGGCTATAACAGCCGACTGTCGCGTCTTGATTGTTTCTGGTTTGTGAAGTTCAATGCGCTTAATGGGCTCCGTGGGCGCTGCAGCAGGCACAGATGCTGCGGCTGCATTAGCATCTTTGTTGGAGCTGGAGCTCGTCTCTGCGGCAGGTACATTGACGGCGCCGCTACTGCTTGCAACGGCAGATGTCGCTGCACCACCAATTATGCCAGACGAGACGAGTTTCTGGAAGAGCTCATCAATATTGAGATT